TGGATAAATTTCCAGAAAAACTGCCAAAGATTGGCATGTTGATGTGGTCCTTTGAGACTTCGACCATTGTGATTCCTGGCTTCTTCGACTGGCTCCTGGTTGCCTCTATCACGTTCACCTCAGAGGGCTCAGCATAGTGGGCTTCAGCCTGCAATGGATTTGAGTCGACAGCCATGGGGAATTTGTCCGCAAACTTCAATCTCCCTTCTTCGATAGCGTCTTGCACAAGATTCCTGAAAAGAAAACATTGAGAAGTTTTATGGCCCAAAAAATTATGATATTTGCAAAAACCTCTCTTCTTTCTTTGATCAAGAGGAGGCACTTTTACCCCTGGAGGTACTATCATTTGGCCATCTTTAACCAGCAAGTCGAATATTTCATCACATTTTGTGATGTCAAAACTATAAGTCTTTTTGGGGAACCTATCGTTGGTCCTTTCTGGACCAATGGGATTTTTCCCATTTGAAGGGACTAACAGTTTACAAGAGTATGGTGGCCCTTGTTTCAGTTCTGCTAAATCAACTTCTCCTTCTTCGACAGCTAAAGTATCGTCGAAGGATTCCGGATCTTCGTCATCCATCTCAACGTACGCTATCCTCTCTCTCTTGTGAGTTTTCGTTGCCTTTGCTTTTTCAGCTTTGAGGCGTTCTACCTGTCGAACTCTATCGGCCAGTTAGGCCATGTCTCTCAGGTATTGGGTGTCTAGCTTCTTCCTGATGGAATAATCTAAACCGCCCGCGGCTATTTCGACTAACTCATGTTCTGGCACTTGTGTGAAACATATCGCCTTGAGCAGCCTAAACATATTTAGATATTCGTCTATAGGTTCAGTGAAACGTCTCTTTACACTGGCCAATTCTTTCAGGCTTATCTTGGTTTGCCCCATGTAGAATTGTTCATGGAACAATCTTTCCAACTGGGTCCAATGATGGATCGAATTGGGGGGGAGAGTCGTAAACCAAGTAAAAGCGTTCTTTGTTAAAGAACTTGGGAAGTACTTGATCCTTAGGTTTTCGTTATTCGAAATGTCACCTGCTTCGATCAAGTATCTCGCCACATGCTCGACAGTAGATTCTGTCGTGTCCCCAGAGAACTTAGTAAATTTGGGGACTTTGCATCTAGGAGGTAAGTCTGTCTGTAACACGTATTCTGACAATGGAGATGTAAAGTTAGGCCTTCGAAAGCCCATGTTCATCCCATTTTGAGTCATGATCCTTTCGATCATGGTTGCCAGATTATTCTCCAAACCCGTATTTTGGTATTGGATATGCTGGACTACTTCGTCAGCATTTTGATTTCTGTTGACTAATCTTACCTCTGGGGTTATTACCCTAGGTTCCTCGACAGGTTGCTCCAATCGTGCCCTAAGGTTTTCTTCGACAGGCTGTTGAGCCTGGTTGATGGTGGTTTCTTCCTCTAAAAATATCCCCTGGTTTCCCCTTATTTGCGCCCGTTGGGGCTGTCGAATAGGTTGGGGTACTCCAAAGAAATCAGCCAAACGCGCCATTTGCGCTGTCACTTGCTGATTCGATTGAGTAGTGTTTTGTATTAGAGGGTTTAGCACCGTACTCAAAGTTTGTGCCAACATTTACACCATATCATGGTTACTTTCGTCCATTTGTTGCCTCAAGACTGCTGTCGAGGCATTTGTAAGGCCCTGGGCTACTTGGGACGTTCCTCCTAAGAGTTAGGTCCTATTTCTATTCGCCATGCCTACTCCAGAACCTTGGAGTGGCGAAGAGGCACTCACTAAAGGGTCTAAAAAAGTGGACGCAACATTCGTCAGGCTAGCCACTTCAGAAGTTGGCATACCATAGAGTGGCATAAATCCTGGTGGCGCTAAAGGCCTTGTGCCTAAATTTCCCCTTGGTGGGGGAGTTCCCAAAGGCATCCTGGGGCCCGTGAACGAAAGTAATGGCCCCGTTGCTGTGACTGTTACTGCTGGTGTCGAACCAACAGTTGTCGCTTCACTTACGGTCGTACTAACCGTTGCTCCCACACTCGTTTGTGGGATTTCGTTATTGTTTGGCGGATTCGCCATCTCTTCCCTTCCTCTGGCAGTATTGTTATCGTTAGTGTATATTCTACCACTTCTCAATAACATACAACACTCCTCGAAAAGATGAGATTATTTTCAACAATCAACACACGGTCCCACCAGGTGTGCCAATTTGTTTACCTTGGGATTTGGTAAACAACCGCTGATCCTCCAAATGGTTACTTATTTGGTTACTCGCAGGATCGATCAGATTGATCCTAGGACATAGGTTGATTTTGAAGTTTTGATTAAATTGGATAAGGCTTTAAATAAAGAGGCTTTAAATAAATTGCATGAAGGAAAGACTTGGTAAAATAAACAAGGCTTAAAGTAAAAGGCTTCGACAGGAATGTAAAGGAGAAAGCAAGTAAATTTCTGGAAAAGTAAATGACTTTGATTAATAAAGTTGGTGTTTCACACATACATTTCTCAACAATTCTTTCTCACACGCTGGGTACTCGAATCTATATGAGTGACTTTGTATAGAATTGTGAACACACGCGAGAACTTACATGACTACTACTATTTATACTAAAACATCCCAAGTAACCGTCGGGCAGTTACACTGCTTCGAGATGATTCCACTTGGCACGTTCTCAACGTTCGACGCTCCAGATCTTTGCACGTTGCACTTGGTAACCGCTGGAAACCGTTTTCCCTCCAAACGCTTGAATTTCAAACTGCTCCACTCTGAACCATCGAACAACTTCGTCGAGAAACATCTTCGACGAGAAACTCCTTCGACATCGAAGGCAACCAACTTCTCCCTTGGAAGAAATCTTTTAAGTATCTTGCCATCTTTCGACGGGAATTTCGACAGACCTAGCTAGTCGAAAACATCCTTCAGCTTTAATGGCTGACATTAATAAAACAAGGGTGTCGAATTTAGGAGCCAACAGGGTTATGACTCAAGCTCTAAAGGATACAAGCTTTATAACCCACATAGTGGAAAGATCATCATAAGTTGTGATGTGGAGTTTGACAAAAAAGATTATTGGGATTGGAGTGCTCAAGAAGACTAGTATGATTTTCTTCCTTACTTTGAAGAAGAAGAAGAAGAAATGGAACAACCAATGATAGAGGAACATATTACACCACCTTCCTCACCATTACCAAGGTTGGATGAAACAAGTTCAAGTGAGAAGACACCACGACTAAGGAGCATTGAAGTGCTTTATGAGGTAACTGAAAACCAAAATGAAATTAACCTCTTTTGTCTTTTTGGTGATTGTGAGCCTCTAAGCTATCAAGAAACGGTAGAAAACATAAAGTGGAGAGACGCCATGGACGAAGAAATCAAGTCTATCACGAAGAATGATACATGGGAATTTACTACACTTCCACAAGGACATAAAGCAATTGGAGTAAGATGGGTGTACAAGGCAAAGAAGAATGCAAAAGGAGATGTGGAGAGATACAAAATAAGATTGGTGGTGAAAGGCTATAGTCAAAGACATGGAATTGACTATGATGAGGTATTTGCTCCTGTTGCTCGTCTTGAAACTATTAGACTGATCATTTCCTTGGCAGCCCAAAATGAATGGAAGATCTATCAAATGGATGTGAAATCAGCATTCTTGAATGGTTTTCTCGAAGAAGAAGTTTATATCGAGCAACCACTAGGCTATGAAGTAAAAGGGCAAGAAGAAAAAGTCTTGAAGTTGAAGAAGGCATTGTACGGTCTCAAGCAAGCACCGAGAGCTTGGAATGCTCGAATCGACAAGTACTTTCAAGACAAGAACTTCATCAAGTGCCCATATGAGCATGCACTCTATATCAAAGTGCAAAGTGGAGATATTTTAATTGTGTGCTTGTATGTAGATGACTTTATTTTCACAAGGAACAATCCAAGCATGTTTGAAGAGTTCAAGAAAGACATGTCAAATGAATTTGATATGACAGATATGGGGTTCATGGCATATTATCTTGGCATCGAAGTAAAGCAAGAAGACAAAGGAATTTTCATCACCCAAGAAGGCTATGCCAAAGAAGTCATTAAGAAGTTCAAGATGAATGATGCCAATCCAGTTGGCACCCCGATGAAATGTGGTAGCAAGTTAAGCAAGCATGAAAACGGAGAGAATGTGGATCCAACTCTTCACAAAAGTTTGGTTGGAAGTCTACGTTACTTAACAAGTACAAGGCCATATATTCTCTATGCTGTAGGAGTTGTAAGCCGATACATGGAAGCTCCAACAACAACTCACTTCAAGGCGGCAAAGAAAATCCTTAGATACATTAAAGGTACAATTAACTTTGGCTTGCACTATTACTCTTTTGATAATTATGAGATTGTTGGCTATAGTGATAGCGATTGGAGTGGAGACTTGGATGATAGGAATAACACTACTGGTTATGTGTTCTTTATAGGGCTTAAGTAGTTTTTTAGAGAATTCTTGTAATATTTTGAATCTCTAGATATTTCTTATAATTATAATATTTTCTAGAATAGTCTTTGGATCTCTAGAGTTGAGAACACTCTAGAATTAGTGTTTAGAGTTCTCCTTAGAGTACTATAAATAGAGATGTAATCTCACACATTTGAATCAAGCAAAAATACTTCTTCTTCTCCATAAAGAATTATCCTACTTATCAAATTTATATTCAAACCTTCAATATTTCCACACACTTCTCCTTAACATAAAAAGTCTTATTTCCAATCAAACATCGGAAAACATTGCAAACCCCCTCGTTGATTTTGATATAATTGAATAGTCCTGTGATTTAATTGTTACTTTAAAATCTCATTATCGGTTGATATCAAACTCATTATTCTTTTAAATTCATATTCTGCAAAGTCTCAACAATACTATAAACAACTCAACATGCCTTTGAGAAGAAAAAGAGTATTCCAAAGTGTTCAACCATGCCACTTACTGAATGTCTTGATAAAAATAAGGTAAAAATAAGGAACAAAATGGAGTAGGAGGAAATTGACGATGAAGATATAAAAGAAAATGAA